GCTGGGGTTATGGGTATGATGGCTACACCCACCCTGGGGAGAGCAGCCTGCATGCAATATAAGGGAGAACAGGCTTGCTCCTGCTCCTCCCTCATTTACTCTTGTTGCTTTTGCTATTTCCCACTGCCTGAACTGTTGCCCCTGTGTCATGCTACTCTGCCTTGGAGCCAGCCAAGTATGAACTGAAACCTCCACAAACTGCGAACTAAATAAACCTTTCCTTCCTTAATTTTGGCATCAGGTATTTTGTCTCAGCAATGAGAGAAAAGTGACCAAAACAGGTCAATTTGGGGGGATCTGATTCTTTTTGGAGTTCTTTATGTATTCTAGATAGCAGTCCTTTGTCTGAGGAACAGCTAGCAAAAATTTTTTTCCCACACTTTGGGTTGTCTCTTCATTCTGTTGGTGATTTCTCTTGGTGTGCAAAAGCGTTTTAATGAGAGTCCAGCTGTTGATTCTTGGTGATAGTTCCTGTGTGATCTGGGTTTTATTTATGAAGTCTTTGCTTATACCAGTGTCTTCAAGAGTTCTACCTAGTCTATTATCCAGCACACTTAGTGTTTCTGTTTTAATATTTAGATCTTCGGCCCATTTTGATTTTAGTTTAATGCATGGTGAAAGACACGGGGCTAGCTGTTAATCTTCAGCATGTGAAAAGCTAGTTTTTCTAGCACCAATTATTGAAGAAGTAACCTTTCTTCAGTGAAGTTGTTTGGCTCCTTTGTGGAGAACAAGGTGGCTGAGTGTGTTTGGAGTTGTTTCTGTATCTTCTATTCTTTTCCATTGATCCTTGGGTCTCTTTTTTTTTTTTTTAACCAGTACTATGCTGTTTATATATTACAGTATATTTGTAGTATAATTTCAAGTCTGGGACTGTGATGCCTCTGGTCTTGCCTTTCTTATGCAGAACTGCTTTTAGTATTCTAGGTCTTTTCTGGTTCCAAATGAATTTTAGGACTGTTTTCTCTAATTCTGTGAGATATGCTACTGGTATTTTGATCAGGATTGCATTAAATCTGTGTAACAGTTTTGGAA